ATCTCCCCCACCAATCGTACGCCCTGCTGCTTGGCCGTTTCACGCATCAAGAATTCGTTGACATGGCCGGTGGAGGCATGGAACAAATCATATCGATGGTGGGCATGGATTTTCCTACCGAAAATGGGGAAGCACCGGGGGCGATAATCGCCAAGGCATGCGAGAGAGAGGGGGGAGCTACGGTCTGCTGCTCACTGCATCCAGCAACAAAACCTTTCAGGCACTCCAAGTCATCACTCATCACGGGAAACGCGGGGGGAGGGGGTGTTGCGGAATCGCAAACATCAAGGGCATCCGGAAAAAAATCACCCTGTGGGACCGAGTCTTTTCCATCCATCAGGCCAACATCAAGGAACATGCTCATATCCATGAGAGGCAAATGGTCCTGGGGGATGAGGGGGTTGATCACAACTTCACGAGAATCGCTCGGGTCAACGACGGAGGGAGAAACAATCTCAGACGATGCTACGGCAGCCGTGATTGCAGGCTGGAAGTCGGCAATAGTCGTGGCCTTTACGTCTACGTCGATGGGCGGGAATTCACAACGCGGAAGTAGTACACCGGACGTGGTGGATGGGAAGCTCGAAGTCGCACTCGCAGACGAGCTGACTGGTCTGAATGTCTAACTATATCTGATAAAGGATACCCGCACGAGGTCCAGTACCGGCTGGATCACTTTTCTTTGCAAAAAGTGCACCTAGAACCATCAGCGTCTGACGAGGGGTCCGTCCCCGGAGATCCCCACTCTCAATCCCAGTGATTAAAAGCCATAAACCCAAGTGATCCAGCCGGGTGCTAATGAGCTGGGTGCTAATGAGCTGAGCGTATATCTTTCGTTTGATAAAGGCTTCTCCACTATGCTACTCAGTCAGCCTGACTGGTCTTAAGGTGTAACTTTATCTTATACCAGTAGAGACTTCCCCCGTCCACACGTTCCGCACGACACAAAGCCTCTGCGGTATCCTAACGTGTCTCTGCTACTTAAACACGAAGTCTCCCTCCGAATACTACCAAACGGGACGAAGCTGTTGCACAGTAGCAGTCTCGGACGATTGAGCCTCCCAATAGTACGCACTACCATTCAGAAAACACCCCAATGCTACGACATACTTCTACGTGACACTTCTACGTGACAAACAGTTGCACCAACTCCTAGTCGCAGAAATATTAAGATGCCTCTCCTAAGTGAGTCCTCATTCGTGACATCTCCTATCCCCCACCTTCGAAAGCAAAAGGGTGGGTGGGCGGGAAAAAAGCTACTTCCTCTGTTCGGAAATATAAGCCCATTTGGAAATATCGGAAATAAGGTCGTTTTGGGAAGTACTCGAATACCGCGGTTCTTGAGCAGATCACCATCAGTATGTGTTCCGCACATCATTCGTACCATGCGCAAAAAAAAAAAAGAGGAGGGGATCGCGAAATATTGCCCCCGGAAAAAAACACCCCCCCCACGCAAGATAACTCCCCCCCCGCGTGCGCTCGGGGAGAAGGAAGAGGAAAGGGAAGAGGAGTTGTGCGGCCAAAATCACGGTGTGTGATGAACTGGACTCGACTCTGCCACCCTTTACGGCAGAAATACTTCGGAGTGTGATATGGGTTAATATTCACCCGCGGTCGCTACCCTCTGCGAGCTGTGTGAATGGGCTGGTTGTCGCCGGGGTGTTCATCGAATACCACACTGGACCAAAAAAATAATGGTTCTAGAGGCGTGTCCGAATCGGCAGGAATTCCGCCGACATTTTTGAGATGGATTTGTTGTGTGATATTAAGAAAATAAGAAAAAAAAAATGGTGGGAAGGGCTCCAAATGGCGGTTTTCCCTGTCTCTTGGCAGGGACTCTGTGGTCACCGAGGG